TCATGTATTCATTCAGCAAACACTTAGTAATCAGCAATCGACCCCTACTGTATGTGTCTGTATGATGTGGTCTCTGCCCTTAACGGTCATGGAATTAGGTACTGGAGAGACATTAGAGCCTGGCATGGATGAAGTGTCCTTTCTGTGTTGTGTGAATGAACGAGCAGTGAGGGAGACAGGGAGGAAGGAGAGAGGAAGATGTACTTAAGTCTTATGAATCAGACGTAGTTTGAGAGTTCAGAGGAGGGAGCATTAACTTGGGCACTTAGGACAGTAGAAGGAGGAAATCACACGTCGGGGCAGAGGCTGACATAGCAGGATGGTGCCAGCTGGCCAGACCTTGTAACTTTGCTGTGTCCGTACTGATTGCCCCATTAGGATTTGCATCATCGCCCATTTAATTCCCTGTCAACAGAGAACCTGGTTCTACCCACACACATCTTTGAAGTTAACAAATTCTTTTGTGCCATTTCTCCAGGTCCTGGTGTTTGATTTTGGTAGTGAAGTTTACGTGTGGCATGGGAAAGAAGTCACATTAGCACAACGGAAAATAGCATTTCAGCTGGCAAAGCACTTGTGGAATGGAACCTTTGACTATGACAATTGTGACATCAACCCGCTGGATCCCGGAGAGTGCAATCCGCTGATCCCCAGGTACTACCGGCCGCGGGCAGCCCAGAGAGTGAGCGGTGCCCCTCGCAGGCCTTGCCTCTCGCCGTAGTCGTCTGCTGCGGCTCCTTCTGGATTTGGCTTTCACAGATGGTTCTATGCAGTGGCCCCTGAATATTCACAAAAAGAACATTTCTTTAGCTTTTACCTAATATGCAAATGTGGCTGTTGTAGTCTTCTGGAAGATGTTTGTATTATATTTAATTTCTTAAAGTGAGCAAATGGTTCCCACCTGTAGCATTCCAGCTGCTACGGTGGCAGATGAATAGCAATTGTTTAAACTAATCACATGCTGATCTGAAAATCCAGATTACGTGGGATCTGGAATTCAGCCATTGAGCTAAAGGCACAAAAGCAACGCGCTTCCTCCTGATCTCATACCTTCCCAGCATCGCCCTTGAATGCCATATGTGGCAGTAGATGCTGTTTGTGCCTTTCTGCCTTTGGTGGGGAGGCTGTGGTGTTAAAATAATGATTGCAATTTTAGTATTTCCTACAGTGTACTGGACTTTTTAAAGTCATTTTGGCAAATCAACC